TTAGTTAATTAAACACATGGAGAATAATAACTTGATGCGGAAAGCTATATGGTTTGACTCATGGGGGGTTTTTTATGATTTATCAACCTTAAAATTGTAAATTCATAAACAACTACATAACTTAATGATTTAATTTCATATTTAATTGCGCTTTGGAAAGATAGGTAATTAAATGGGAATTTAAAATAGCTAGCAATTACATCGGAAAAGAGCTTGTTTAGTGAAATTCAGAGTTTGTTTCCCTACTTTGAATAATTAAATTGATTAATGGGACTAATAAATAAATGGAAGGAATTAAGTTGAAATCAAAACCCCTAGTAGTTTTTGAATCTTGATTTCTTAATCATAAATTGCTTTGCCTTTAATTTTCTTATTTTACTGTTGAATTTAATTTCTTATAAACAATTATCTCATTTTATCGTTTAAATAATAACGAGATTAACTAATTTTGAGTACTTGGATTACAATTCTCTGGGGAATGATATACTTACTCATCATTATTATTACTTGTAGCGGTTATAACTTGGCGAAATAAGCTGTCAAGTTTTTGGCGCCGTTGCCGGGGTATTTGGCAATACCAATTCAATACGATTATCTGTTATTAATTTAGACATTTATTTTTTTTTTTATTCATTTGATTTTTCTGTAGAAACAATCTCAGGTTTTTATTGCAAAGAAGATATGCAAAGAAGATCTGGAAGAACAGAACCTCTGATCTTTGATCCAGAAATTGAAAAAACCTGCAGAAGAAACAACGCAGCAAGGAGAGCACAAGAGAACAGATCCGAACAACAATCAAACATGGACGAAATTAATCATCAACTTCCGAATATACCTCTTGCTGCAAATCCTCAGGTCATATAGCAGCAAAACGTCCACACATTGCGAGATTATACCACACCTTCTCTCAATGGACTACCTCCAGCATCACTAGACCAAGAGTGGAAGCAAATAATTTTGAAATCAAACCAGCAATAATCCAAATGCTTTCCACTTCTATTCAATATGGAGGATTCCTAGTGAAGACCCTAATGCTCCATATCACTAATTTCCTGGAATTTGTGACACTTTCAAACAAAATGGGTTCTGAAGATGCCATAAATTTAAGATTCTTTTTCCTTTTACTCTAGGGACAAAGCAACGATCATTGGTTTACCATCTTGTCTGCTTAGAAAGAGTTTTACCAACTTGGGAAGAGTTAGCCTTAGAAATTTTTTGGCTAAATTCTTTCCATCTTCTAACAACTAAATTAAGAAATGAGATTATGGAACTTCTTGCCTCATCATGATCAAAGAAAGCTTTGTATTGAGGCTTGGAGATTTATAAAGATTCTGTTGAGAAAATGTCCTCACCATAGTTGCCCAAATGGCTACAAGTCCAAACTTTCTATAATTCATTGCACCTAATATTAAAATTACTTTGGATGCAGCTACAGGAGGATCCTTTGAAAAGAAAGAGATCGATGAGGCATAACGATTTAATAGAAGAAATGGCAAGCAATAGCCATTATCAAAGTAGTTCTGAAAGAAGAAAAACTGCTGGGATCTATGAAATTGATGCCATCACTGCACGAAATGCAAAGGTTGACAACATGGTAAGAAAGTTAGACCTACTAACCACTAAATCTGTGAACTCCATCATGCAAACCTGTGACAGATGTAACGAACCACATGGAATTGGAGAATGCATATTAGATTCTACAAATCCACAAACTTTGGAGCAAGTGAACTACGTGATGAACCAACAGAGGAGGAATTATCCATATTCGAATCATTACGATGATACAGGTTGAGAAATCATCCAAATCTTCATTATGGTAATTTCTAACAATACTTTAAATGCACCACCAGGTATTCTTGCCTCCTGAGAAAAAGTCTCGCATTGATTGATCTCCTTACTGCCCTTTTCAAATCGCACATGCGATTTCATGAACGAAAACAAGAGAAACATTTTAACAAAAATCAACAAGCTGCGATAAGAAATCTTGAGATCCAAAATGGGACAGTTTTTGCGAACATGGATGGCAACAGACCTCAAGGTACGTTACCTAGCAACACTGAGAGAAAAATCCTTAAAGAGCAAGTACAAGCCTCACCTTGAGGATGTGGTTAGGAGTATGGGAGGACCAAACCCAGGAAAGAGAAAGAGAGGGAAGAGGAGAAAAGGGCGGCCCATTCATACGATTCTAGGTGGAGAGGATGGGTAAAACCTTATGTTCCACCCCTTCCATTTCCGCAAGGTTGGAAAAAGACGCTAAGAAATGACCAAAGTTCATGAAATTCCTTGAGTCTCTTCAAAAAGCTTCAAATAAACATTCCTTTTACTGAAGCTCTTACTCAAATGCCTAGCTATGCAAAATTCTTAAAAGAAATCTTGAGCAAGAAAAGAAAGATTGATGATCAGGGAATGGTAAAACTAACTGAGGAATGCAGTGCAATCATTCAAAATAAGTTGCCATCTAAACTTAAAGATCCAGGGAGTTTTTTCTATTCCTTGTAATATTGGCAATTTGAATTTTGAAAAGGCTTTAGCTGATCTAGGAGCTAGCATAAATTTAATGTCTTATGAAGTTTTAAAATGCTAGGTATGGGGGAGCTCAAGCCAACAAGGATGTCTCTACAATTGGTCGACCGATCGATCAAATACCCCAAAGGAATTGTAGAGGACGTACTAGTCAAGGTAGGAAAATTCATTTTTCTAGTTGATTTTGTTATCCTTGACATTAATGAAGGAAGAGAATGATCATTGATCCTTGGAAGACCTTTTCTTGCAACTGCAAGAGCTCTAATTGATGTACATGATGGGAAACTGACGTTGAGAGTAGGTCAGGAAGAAGTTGTTTTTGATGTGTTAAAATCTTGTAAATTTCCTATAGATAGTGATGATTGTTTTAGAATAGATGTAATTGATAAATGTGTAGAGAACACTTTACATAGCATAGATAATAATGAAAATAATACAGAAGAAAAAGAAAAAGAAGATACACCACCCAAACAAGAATTGAAGCAGCTCCCTCCTCATTTGAAGCATGCATTTCTAGGTGAGGACAACTCTTTCCCTGTTATTATTTCCTCTCACTTAACGCTTGATCAAGAGAAAGGGTTGTTGCAGGTTCTTCGAAAGCACAAGAAAGCAATAGGATGGTCAATTGAAAGCAATAGGGTGGTCGATTTCTGATCTACAATAACGCCGAGTGTATGCATGCATTTAAGATCCTAATGAGGATGGACTAACAAACCTTCCCAATCGAGCATCAAAGACGTTTTTGAATCCAACATGAAGGAGGTAGTAAAGGCTGAAAAATCATAAAACTTGGGATGCCGATATTATCTATCCAATCTTTTGATTAGAGGTTGGGTGAGTCCTTGTTCCTCAAGTTGTGCCAAAGAAGGGAGGTATGACTGTTATTGTTTCGTAATTTATTTTATAAATATCAATAGATAGAGCTTAAATAAACTTTCATTTACTGTACTACAATAATAAATGGGGAAATAGAAATATATATATGGACTTATTGCCAAAGACGAGTAATGGCTATGCGAAGCTCTCTCCCTCTGGAAAACCGTGTCTTTGTAAATTGCTTTGCACCTAGCAGCGATAAGTGAGAAGAGTGTGCGTGGTGAAGAATGTGTGGTTCATGTAAAGAAGGAATGAGCTGCCAAAATTGACTTATCAACTCATAGAGTAAGGAAATAAGAGGGAAAAACGAAAGATAATCTTTGCCATTTAAGGATTCTTATTTTTTAAAACTCTTTGCAATTTTTGAAAATCAAATTTATATTCTTAATTTGGATAGAATCGATAACCACCTCAATTAATATTTTTAAAAAATTTATTTATTTGATTGGAACCAAGATATTTTGTAGGCAGCTAATTTCTTGTATTATATGTATATGTATTTGAGCTCAAAAAAACGAAGATAAAGCAATAATAAAGCTACGGACATGGCTGACAAAGAAATACTTCTATTATTGTATTTAACTTTGACGAAGAAATACTTCGTATTATTGTATTTAAAACTTTTTCTTCGATTTCTGCTTCTGTCACGCTTCAACCAACTTACACAACTCAAACGGTGATATGCTCAACTTTTTCCGATCAGCTATGTTTTCAACAAATGGGGCTTTATGGCTTTAAGATTTTCTCCGGCAAAATACCTAGCAATAAATTGCACCTACGTGAACACCCAGGCGCGATGATCTAAGGTACCATGCTGTCCTTGGTAGCCAACAGAGGGACAAGCCAATCGCCGAAAAAATCTAGTTATCTTACTTGTAGATGATGGCTGGGAATTAATAATCAAGCATCCTGATGGCCAAATTGAGTTGTATTCAGGTCCGTTCCGCTTCCCTGAAATTTGACAAGCTGAATTAGAAGATTAACGGTAACTTATGTGCTGAAAGCGAATTCCGGCGGCCAGACACAAATATTAATGGGAAAGCTTTGATAATCCGACGGGACACCTTTTGCCATTGAATGAAATTGGTTAACAGTAAAGAAAAATAAATTGGTCTCTCCATCTTGGCTAGGTGAAGAAACTCCAACGCATGGAGCATTTACGAATGAGAGTGGTGAATTATATGTAAAACGCGAAATCATCGTTTAAACGGCGGGGAGTTATATTTGGATAGTGGGGACATTGACTTTTTGGACTAGTGGGACCTTGACTTCTGATAAATCATTTGCAAACATTCCTCTTCCAGGTCCGTACAACCATAACTATAGGTTCGATATAGTTTCAAATGGAGAAGAGGAATCTGTTAGCTACCAGCTTTATTTTATTGAGTTCACTCCTGTTGAACGGAGAAATATTTCCAGGTGGTTTTTAGATTACGATGGAAGCATACGGGACGCAGTGAGAACAACAATTTTGAATTCTGCAGCTTGCGACGGATATATAACAAAATATGGTTTGGAAATGGATAGTGATTGCTTTAGCAATTGTTGTGTTCGCGTCATTAGTGGGCATATTTCTGTATTTGCGATGGAAAAAACTCGAACAAGAAGGTATATTTACATTATGTCATTCATCCTATATGTATTCTTAGCATTGCTCAAACTGAATTCCAAGTTTCTAATTTTTAATCTTTCTGAAAACAATCAAACAGAGAAATTTCTAAAAGAACTCTTGACGTCAACTCTTGACGTCAGATAGACCAAGCGATGCAAATGAGCTTCAAAATAGCGGTAACAACGGCCATAATTTGCAACTATATAGCGTTGCATCCATAAGAGCAGCTACCGATTCTTTCTCATTGCAAAACAAACTCGGACAAGGTGGTTTTGGACCTGTTTACAAGGTAGAGTTATATATATATATATATATATATACATATTGTTTACAATTTTAAAAAAAAAAAAAACTACTGTTGAAAATGATATATACATTTGTTACAATTCTACTATGTGAAAAACGAATCATCCAACTTCACTTTTGTTTAATTTGGTTTCATGTTTTTTCTGCAATTTAGTTTGATTCTTTATTTGTTCAAGTAATTTTAATAGGCTCTGTTTTTTCTCACTTTTAAATACGGGAATTAGAACAGAGTGAAACGATGGTCATCTTTATTACAGAATAAAGAAATTAATCTTCAATTATGCAATTACTGCACAGGGAAAATTTGCAGATGGGCAAGAAATAGCAGTGAAGAGACTGTCCAGAACATCAGGACAAGGGCTAATAGAGTTCAAAAATGAGCTTATACTCATTGCTAAACTACAACATATGAATCTTGTGAGACTATTAGGTTTTTGCATCCAAGAAGAAGAGAGATTGAGTACTTGCCAAATAAAAGCCTTGACTCCTTCATCTTTGGTAAGCAAGCTTTCGCTCCTCCTTTCATGGAAGAAGTTGAATATGTTCATCTCATTTATTTAGCTCATATTTTTATTTTCATTTTTTTTTTCAAGATCAATCAAGAAAGCAGCTATTAAATTGGAGAAAGCGATATAATATCATCGAGGGAATAGCTGAAGGTCTAACTTACCTTCATAAGTACTCAAGATTAAGAATCATCCACAGAGATTTGAAAGCTAGTAATATATTACTTGACAAAGACATGGTTCCCAAAATCTCCAAAATCTCTGATTTTGGTATGGCAAGAATTTTCAGGGCAACGGAGTCTGAAGCAAATACTAACAGGATTGTAGGAACCTAGTAAGTAAAACATTATCATTATCAACTTAATCAAACTTACTTCTCAATTTCATTTTTCTTAATTAAAAAAAAAATATTGCAGCGGTTACATGTCCCCAGAGTATGCTATGGAAGGCATTTTCTCCATCAAATCCGATGTTTATAGTTTTGGAGTTCTAACGCTTGAAATTATAAGTGGTAGAAGAAATCACAGCGCTTACCATTATGATCGTCCGCTCAATCTTGTGGGTTATGTAAGTTTAATTATCTTGTTAATGTTTTCATATTATTGCATATCCCTAAATTAAATAAATTATATATTTATAAATTAAATAAATTAATTGATGAGAATTGTATCTCAGGCATGGGAGCAATGGAAAGGAGGAAGATGGGAACTAATATTAGATCCGACGGTGAGCGATTCAGCATCAAACGACCAAGTTCTGAGATGCATTAATGTGGCTCTGCTATGTGTAGAACAGGATCCTTATGATAGGCCAACCATGCCAGATGTTTTATCTATGTTGACTAATGACGTACAGCTTCCAATGTCTAAGCAGCCTGCATTTTATGTGGGAACTACCACTGTAAAAACAGGTGAGAGTAGTACTAAAGACTTGGCTGAAAAATTTTCAGTAAATGGCTTGTCCGCAACCGATATGGTTGGTCGATAAATCATCGTTTATTATTGTATTTTTTTTATTTTAATTATCCGGTGTCCTAAGTCCACTGATCCGATTAATTCGGATTCACTTTGAATAGATCTACAAAGAGAGGTAGAGCGTTCCCTTCCTAGTGTTTAAAGAGACTCTATTTCCTATAATAATCAATGTGGAATGTATACGCGCTTCGAGTATAGTTATATTACATTATTTAAATAATGTTATTCTTTATTTTAATATTAATAATATTGATAATTAACATGCATTTTTTCTTATTCAAAACTTGACCACATAAAATCTCTCCTTTCAATTAATAGATTTTATAAAATAAAATAAAAAGGAATGATGTTTCAAAAAAGAGAGAAAAATATTTAAATTCACTGAATAAAAAAGAATATTATTACTCATGATATTAACATTAACAATATATTTAAAAGTAACAAAAATTTTACAATATTTAATTTTAGTTGTTACATGCAACTATTCTTATTCCAAATATTAGTAATTTTGCATTTATATAAGTTATATTAGAGAAGAATTTGTGTTGTATTCGAAATTGTAAAAAAGCTTTCGAAAATTATGACTTTCGTAGAATACTATGTGCAAACAATTTACTAATCCTACAATAATTTAATTAATTCTACTTATTTTTTAGTTAGTTTATGTAATTCAAACAATTTAAATGAATTACATTATAATATATAATTCTATATATATATTTTAAATTATTCAATACAGATAATTTAAAATAATAATAATTACAATTTAAATAAACACTTAGGTGTCCAATTATAATACAATAAAAGATAGAACGTAAAACTCAAAAATTGATAAAATAAGAAAAAAAATGTTATAGGAAGTTCATTTAATAATAACTAACTTTAAAAAAATAAAGATAAAGTTAACAAATTAAAATATACAGATAAATGAGGAAATGTTTTACAGGTAGATATATTTTTGAAAAAAAAAAAAAAGGAAGTTACTGGTTATAATAAATAATTTAATACTCTAATTAACAATCAGAAACTAATTGTGAAACACAAATTCAAATAACAATTAATTCATAACGATTCAAATAATTTATAATAACAACTAACCTGGTAAACTTCCCGTATGGATAATTCATGACATTACCATATTGAATCTTCAATCTGTAAATCAAAATTCAACCTTCAATTAATAAACAAACCCAAGAAACTTCTACAGCAATAATATTAACTCCAACAAAAAGCAATAAAAAAGAATAACAAACCGAACACATTTATCTCATATATATATATATATTCAATTGCTAGTGAAGGAGTCTGAGATTTGAGAGAGAATACATTAAAATTTCCTCCAGCCTCACGATCTGAGTTCTAGAATGTCAAATTGAGTGTTTGCCATGCTTCGATTCACTGTTTCCTCCAGCCTCATGATTCTATCACTCAAATCCCCAGTAGATTAATCATGTAACAGTGACCTTTCTTCTAGGTTTACCTTTCTTCTAGGTTTTGAAATCGCGCGGCGTGTGTCATCGTGGTTTTCTTTGTGAGTTGCGAAAAAAGCGAGGTAAGGCTTTGGTCTAAATCGGTTGGCTCTGATGCCAATTTTTCAGGCGCATCAACCATAGAACCTGAGATGGAACATGAATGTAGATTCTTGAGTAGTTTGGGGCGCAAAAAGCCAGCGAGAGAGAGAAAGGATAGAGAGAGGAGAGTCTTAGAAAAAGGGAATATTTTTAATATTGTCGTAATTCAACAAAAAGCAATACAGCAGTTTCTATTACCTAACTAGGTGGCAGCCAACTCCACATTACTAGCCAATAAGAAATAACATGATATCTGACTCATCATTACTATAAATCAGTCAGAAATAACCCCCCAAAATGATTACATACTAAGAATTCAAGTCCTTATTACATAATTATATCCTAGCAAGACCCTAAATATAAATATCTTTTTAATTAAAAGATACAGGCTTATTAATATGTGTAAATAGTTGACTTGTGACTTTACCCAACGTAGTCTTCCCATCACATTCATATACAAAATTATTTATAATTTGACTACAAAACAATATCTACAATATTGGAACACTAAAGCGTGTTGTTATAAATAAATATTTATGTATCTAAAAAAAAAAAAAAATTAAAATGATGAAAGAAGGATTCTACGAAAGTAATAATTATTTTCGAAGAAAAAAAAAGTGTTCTTTACAATTATTAAACCATCAACTTTACTTATAGAAAATAATTTTCTATTTTTTATTTTTTATCTTTTAATAAAATAGTTTTCTTAGAAAATGAAAACTAAAAAATAGAAAATGAAAAATGTGCTCACTTGATAATAACAATAAAATCATATTTTAATTTAATTTCATAAATATTATTTATATGAAATATTTTAGAAATAAAGGATATAATATATTTGTAAATATTGTAAACAATAAAATTATATTATTTATTAAAGTTATTACTATTTTATTTTACTTAAATATTTTTATTTATTTTTTCAAATGAAAATATTTTATAGAAAAAAATTATTTTTAGATATTATAATTTTAATTATCAAAATGTCATTCTAAAAAGAAGTGGAAAACGGTTCAAAAACATATTTTTTGTTATAAAGAAATTCTGAAAAACAACTTAAAGCTGTTTTTCAAATTTTATTTCCGAGATTCTTATGTGCTTGAACTCAAAAAACCCAAAATTAAACAATAATAAAGCTTCAAAAATGGCTGACAAAGAAATACTTCTATTACTGTATTTCTCTTTATTTTGCTTCTGCCACACTTCAAAGGTATACACACAACTCAAACAAGGTGATAGGCTCAGCTTTTCCGATCAGCTTGTTTCAACAAATAGGCTTTATGCTTTAGGATTCTCCCGCAAATACCTAGTCATAAATTGCACCTACAAGGATGAACTGAGCTACCATCCTGTCTGGCCAGCCAACAGAGATAAACCAATCATCGGAAACTCTGATGTCCTTGCTATAGATGATGTTGGGAAATTAATAATCACGCATAGTGGTGGCCAAATTGAGCTGTATTCAGGCAAGTCTGCTTCCACTGAAAATTTAACAGCAGTATTAGAAAATAATGGAAACTTTGTGTTGAAAGCAAATTCCGGCTGCCAGACACAAATATTGTGGGAAAGCTTTGATAATCCGACGCACACACTTTTGCCTGGAATGAAATTAGGGTTTAACCGTAAGACTTGTTCTCTCACGTCCTGGTTAGATGAAGAAAATCCAATGCCGGGAGGATTTACTATGGAGTAGGATTACAAGAAAGGCGAAATCATTGTTAAACGGTCAGGATTGTTAGAAAAACAGAGTAGAACAGAGTTGCTGAAAAAAAAATAAAAAGAACTAAGAGGAATTTCAGCAAACCGCTGGTGTGCACAGAAAATGTGAGAGAAGAATCGGATACATTTCCATTCATCAAATTCTCTTTAAATACAATCACAGCATAACCAAATCCCAAATTACGTGGACACAAATTATCTCACGTCAACAAGAAAATAGGGAATCAAATAACAAATATTGACTTATTAAAACAGAAAACTAATATCACTAACTAAAAATAGATAAGGTGCAGAGATACTTTGCATTACTCTCTAACAAGGATATGAACGTGTATTTTGGACTAGTGGGAAACTGACTTCTGATGAACTATCATCGAATATTCCTTATATTCCTTGGAACGATAACTATAAGTTTGATATAGTTTCAATTTATGGAGAAGAGGAATCTGTTAAATCAGCTACTTGCTCTCTTGTATTGCAAAACTCTAGCTGAATACTTCCTTCTGCAACTTGCTCTCTTATAAAATGATGGCGAATATCAATGTGTCTTGTTCTTTGGTGATGAACTGGATTTTTCGCCATCAATTGTGGACTGATTATCACAAAAAATGATTGTTGCTTCTTTCTGCTCAATCTTCATATCTTGCAAAATTCGTCTGAGCCAAACTGCTTGACAAGCTGCTGCAGTGATAGCCATATATTCGGCTTTCGAAGACGACAAAGCTATAGATGGTTGTTTTCTTGAGCTCCAGGATATGGCACTAGACCCAAGCAAGAACAAATATCCTATAGTGTGAACCCCTTCCCCAAATGTCATAAGCATGTGAATGCATATGATGAATGAGAAGAAATGCACGTGAGTGTGTGAGTCGCCACCTTGTTTAATATGTGATTATCCCTGGTCCCCTGTCTCCACCTTATGAGTATATTTAAGCAAAAATATAAAAGTACACTTCGTGCTCAGATGCAGACTAAATACACTTTAAATCATGAAAAATGGAATTCTCTCTTTTCCTTATAATTAAGCTGTGTTGTTTGCTTTTAATATTTTCTTCTGGCAAGAAGATACTATAATGTTTAAGTACCTCCCCAAATTTAATTATTTTGCCAGAGATTTTTGAATATTGATTAGCTGAATTTTTCAAATTTACTGCTTTATTGCTTGGTTGTTTGATGTATGTAGCTCGTAAGTCTTGGAAATGGATAGTGATTGCTTTAGTGATTATTGTGTTCGCGGCATTAGTCAGCATATTTTTGTATTTGAGATGGAAAAGCTAAAGCAAGAAGGTACGTTGCATATGCATATATAATATTGCTCCAACTGAATCCCAAGTTCTAATTTTTTTTTTATTTCTTGCAAAATCAATCCAACAGAGAAATTTCTGAAGGAGTTGCTGACATCAGATCTATTATTTAAGAAGGAATTTATGTTTTTGTTATGTCTAATTGTACAATGAAATCACATATTTATACATGAAAAAACTAGAAAGAGAAAACTAAAATCAATGCTAGAATTAAGCCTAGAATTAAGGCTAGAATCAAGGCTACAATCAAGCCAAGAATTTAGGCGATTGTCGCAAAAAATGGTTTGATTTTAAAGGCCTTTGGCCAAAAGATTGAATTATTTAAGGCGATTTGTCGGCTAAAATGATGGTTGATTTTAGGCTTTGGCAAAAAATGTGTTGTTTTTAGGCCAAATTAGTTTGCCAAATGTGGCCGATTTAGGCTTTAATGCCACGTTTATCAATTAATGGGCGTTCGGCTAATCACAATTTATTGTCGAAACGTGATTTGATTAAGGCTTTTAGCCACAATTATTGATTAATGACTTAAAGCCGGATTTGTTGAAATAAGAGGCAATTGAACCGTAAGTTTATTAATTAACTAGGCTCTTTTAACCAGAATAAGTTATCGGATTTAAGGCTTTAATACCACATTATTGATTAACGGCATTTAAGCTAATCAAATTAATTAAGGCTAGTTTAATTTAACCAAAATAATGACGTGGATGCATTATGCAATTGGTAGAATTATTAAGGTAGAAAAGAAATATTGCATGAAGTGTGCTGAAATTAAATAGGCAGAGTTTCGTTTACATACCTGATTTAATCGGCGACCGCTTCTTAATTCCAGATTAAGCTCCTCGCTTGGGAAATATTAATCAATTTTAATTTATTTAATTTTAGTGGCCAAATATCACAACAATAATGTAATAAAAATTAAAATGCAAAAAGCGGTAAAGAAAAACGCAAGGAGCGTGGGAGGGAGAAAGATCGTCCGTCAACACAGACAGGGGTGTCAAAATAGGCTGAAAATGGTCTATTTATAGGCCATTTTCGGGTCCAGGGCGGCAGGTGCCGCCTGGCTCGGCGGCAGCTGCCGCCCAACCCCAGCGGTGGGGCGGCAAGGTGCCGTGTCCGGCGGCCGGCGCTGCGTAGGCTGGTGGTGGGCCACCAATGTCCTCGCTGCCGGTGAGCCTTTGTTGTGGATGTTTCCGACCTCCAGAAATCATTGTCCGGGACCTGGTTTCTGCGATCGCTCTCGTGAAAATTTTGCGGACGTTTCTAAGTATCCAATATTGACATACGTTCCCCAGTAAATGTCAACAATGCCTTCGGTCCCCGGCCGGAACTGTTTGCAGTCCGGCATTGAGCACTGTAGCAGTCAAATTTAACTGTAGCGAGGTCAACAATTTGAGGGTATTCCAACAGTTGCCCCCCACTGGCTATCATAAAAATGATTTATAGAGCCAGTGGCCCGTCTGAAGGAGCAAATTCTTGAAGGCGAACTCGGACCTTGGCAAATTGGGAATTATGGTGGCCTTGGGCTGAGTTGTTGAAATTTTTCGGACCTAGGTCTCGAGTTTTGAATTTCGGGCCTAGGCCCGAATTGTGAATTTTTAGGGCCTCTGCGGCCTGAATGTGATTTTTCGGGCCTCTGGGGCCTGAATGTGATTTTTCGGGCCCTCCTGGGGCCCTGATTGTGAATTCTCTTCGGGCCTCTGGGGCCTGATTTGTGATTTTTTCAGGGCCTCTGGGGCCTGATTGTGAGTTCTTCGGGCCACTTTGGCCGAATGTGATTCTTCGGGCCTATTTGGCCTGAATGTGAATTGTTCGGGCCTCTGGGCCTGAAATTGTGTTTTTCGGGGCCTCTTGGGGCCTGAATGTGAATTTTCGGGCCTCTGTGGCCTGATTGTGATTCTTCGGGCCTCTGGGGCCTGATTGTGATTGTTGGGCCTCTGCGGTCGAATGTGATTTTTATTTTATAATTATAATTTTTTTTTTTTATGAAATAATCAAATGCATTGTGATTTTTCGGGCCTCTTGGGCCTGAATGTGATTTTTCGGGCCTCTGTGGCCTGAATGTGATTTTTCGGGCCCCTGGGGCCTGAATTGTGATTTTTTGGGCCCCTGGGGCCTGAATGTGATTTTTCGGGCCTCTGTGGCCTGAATGTGATTTTTCGGGCCTCTGTGGCCTGAATTATGATTTTTCGGGCCTCTAGGGCCTGATTGTAATTTTGCGGGCCTCTGGGGCCTGATTGTGAATTTTCGGGCCTCTGGGGCCTGAATGTGATTTTTCGGGCCTCTGTGGCCTGAATTGTGATTTGTGATTCTTCGGGCCACTTTGGCCTGAATGTGAATTTTCGGGCCTCTGGGGCCTGAATTGTGATTTTTCGGGCCTCTGGGGCCTGATTGTGAAGGCCGGAATTGTGAATTTTGGGCCTTAGGCCAAATTTGCACTTACTGTTATATTAGTATGCATGCTAAGGTAGAACTAAGATATTATCCTTAGTAAGGAACTGAGGAATAACTCTTATATTGCTTTACCTTCTAGGACCCTTATATCAAATTGGATGTGGGTGAGACCTCCATGTCCCAAATCCCGACCGAGATATTCGACCCCAGCCACCCGGTTGGAGCGATTATCAGTCCGTCCCGTCTCTCCAAAGTTGAAAAGATCAATTTGGGGAGGTACGGTCTCTCTCCTATTGTTACCCTCAGGGGGGTAGTAATCGACTGGCTTTGGGATCCTGAGTCCCATGTGTTCCGGTTCGGAGCCATGATGGGGGAGATGTGTCCTCTTTTTGAGGAATTTTGTGCTATCATAGGGTGCGATCCCAATGCCCCATTGGTCAGGCACGAAGTCAAGATTGGGTATGTTCGGTTGTTTCGTGTGTTTGATAAACTGTTTTAGTTCAGTCGACTCAAGCTAAGGGCTATGATTGTTGGGTGATCAAGAAAGGGCGAATTCGTGCGTGCCGATCTGATTGTTGAATTTTCAGAGGGTTCCGTTCAGATGACCAGACCGGATGAGTGCTCGAGGAATGCTGGCCCTTTGGTTTTTTGCTTATTAGCTGTTCTTGTTTTAACAAGGGACCCCAGCTTTCGGGGACTTGCGACTTCTTGTCCTTGGTCTTCCCCATGGTTCAGCAAATGGAGGATATGGGTTGCATTGGCGGCATTGTGCTGGCAGAGACTATCAGGAGCCTTGACAGAGCTGCTCTAGGCTTCGATGACTGGACGGTCTCTCCAATTATTCTCCAGGTATTTCTCCTTTTCCTCTTCTTTTTTTTTTCTTCTTTCTTTTGGTTCGTTCCTTTGTAATAGAAAGGATCCATTACTCAAGTTCGGTTAAAGGACCACCTCCAAGTGGTTGCTGGTCCTACTCTCTTGCCCTATAGCCCCCCCTCAGTATCGTATGCGGAGGATCTTGATTACACATCCGTCTACTGACGCATGGACCTCATGGCTGATTGAGTTGGGTCCAAATGAGGTATTGTGGTTCGTTTCCTAGTATGACGTCACCCGCTTTATCCAGGTTACCTGCTTTATCCAGGTTAGCTTTCGCCATACTCAGGTGTACCTTTTAGGCCTTACACATCGTACCTGGTACTGCGCTTCGCGCGTTTTGAGGCAGATGGGGATAGATCAAACTATTCCGACTGTGGATGATTCTTTAGCCGATTCAGCCATC